AAACATTTTTAATAGGAAATATTTCATTATCTCTTTTTTATAAATAAGGTTATGAGTGGTAAGATGACAGGTAATAATTTTCTGGGTTATCCCCTCCCCATAATCACCTAGTTATTTAGATTTTTTTTAATTGATATTTTAATGAAAATTAAGAGAGGACTTGGATTTCCAGTCACTCATTACTGTACATTCTCCTCCCTGCTCCCCCCACCAAATTTGCTTTTTTCTTCAGAAGATTCTTTCCTTGTTATACAGTTCCCACCCTCCAGTCCACTTTACTACGCAGCTTTTATTCCAGACTCATCATGCCAATATAATACCTAATCATATATTCCTTTTATACAGTTCTCTCCCTTATCTGTTTCAATGCTGTGTACACTATCTATCCCCTCTTTTCTTAGTTTTCCCCAACGCCCATGTTTTATAACAGTGGCACTATGCAGTATTTGTCTTTTTGTGACTGAGATATTTCACTCAGCAAAATATCCTCCATGGTCACCTATTTTGTATCGTATTTCATGAGTTCTTTGTTCTCCAATGCTGCATAATATTGTGTGAATATACCACAGCTTCTCTATACATTCATTTGTTGATGGGCACTTAGGTTGTTTCCAACTCTTTGCTATTGTGAACAAATCCGCGATAAACACAGATGTGCATATATCTGCTTGGATGTCAGTTATGGTCTCTATGGGGTATATTCCCAGTAGTGGAATTGCTGGATCAAATGGTATCTCTATTTGTAACTTTTTGAGAAAGCGAACACCACCTTCCACAGTGGTTGCACCATTTTACACTCCCACCAACAGTGAATAAGGGTTCCAGTTTCTCCACAACCTCATCAGCATTTGTTGATTCCTAATTATTTAGATCTAAGAGTAAAGCTGGAACATAACTCAAAGCACCCATACTTTGAATTATTTACTCAACTAAATAAATGTTTAATATGTAATTTGCAAATTTGAAAGGTGAAGGATTTGTAAGGCCCACAAACCTTTATGACCAAGTAATTTCTAATCTCATGGCCACTCTTCATTCACCAGCTCTGAAATAACTGTCACAAAATGAAAGCCTGTTTCTTGGCTGAGTGGGAACTATGTTGTTTTTGTTGTTCAGTGCCATCAAGTCAAATACAACTCACAGCGACCCTCTGAACACCAGATCTGAACCCCGTCCTAGCCTGTGTCATCCTCACAATCTGACAACACACGAGCCCACTGTAGCAGTCACTGTGTCGATCCATCTGATTGAGGGTCTTCCTCTCCCTTGCCCCCGCCCCCGCCCCTATCTTTCCAAGCATGATGTCCTTCTCTGAGGAACAGCTTCTCCTAGCAACACGGCCAAAGCACGTGAGACAAAGCTTCACAATCCCTGCCTCTAAGGAGCATTCTGGCTGTACCTTCTCCAAACCATACTTGTTTCTTTGGTAGTTCATGGGATGTTCAGTACTGTTCTTCAAGACCACAGCTCAAAGGCATCAATTTTCCTTCTGTCATTCTTATTCACTGACGAGCTCTCAGCAGCATAATAAGTGACTGCAAAGATCATGGTCTGAATCAAATTCACCTTAGCCCTCAAACTAGCATCAGTGCCCTTCAGTAATTTTGAGAGGTCCCTAGCTGACATTCCCAATGCAATACTTCTCCTGACCTCCTGACTGCTGGTACCAAGTGTATTAACTGTGGATCCAAGTCAAGATGAAGTTGTTGACAGTTTCAATCTTTTCTCAATTTATTATAATGTCATTTATCAGTCCAGTGGTGCGAATTTTTGTTTTCTTGACGTTGACATGTAATCTATATTGCAGGCTGCAGTGTTTGATCCTCTGCAATAAGTGTTAATAAACAAAGTGTTAATAAATTATTGACATACTAAAAAATAAGCATTAATAAATAAAGTGTCAATAAAGCCCAAACAGATATTCTCGTAGTATTCTTTGCTCTCAGGCCAGTATCTACCTGACATCAGCAATGATTTCCCTGGTGCCACAGCCTCTTCTAAATCCAGCTTGAACTTCTGACAGTAGTCTATTTGGTGTTCTGGCCGTTTTCGAATGAACAATAGTAACCAAAAAAAAGGAAACAGATCTACAAAGACGATGGCTCTTAGCCAGGAAATAAAATTTTGGCTGCATGAAAGAACAGACTCATCCACTCACAGAAATCACTTAGAGCTCTGGTAGTCTAGTTAGTGTAAGAAGCTGTGCTGCAATCCCAAAGGAACACAGTTCAAATCCACCAGCAGCCCCACAAAAAAAGTACGGGCAATCTCCCTCTGTGTGATTAACTGTCTCTGAAAACCCACTGGAAGGTCACTGGTTGGTTCTGACTTGACAGCATACAACAATATGAAACAGAAGGTAGCCCCAGTGCTCTGTAGAGGCAAGGATGGTGGAGTCTTGTCTCACGTAGTCTGGGCAGGTTGTTAGGAGAAGCTATTCCTCAAAAAGGGATATCATGCTTGGAAAAGTGGGGCATCAACTAAAGAGGAAGATCATTCACAAGATGGAATGACACTGACTGCTGCAATGGGCTCAGGTGGCTCAGATGATGAAGATGGTGCGAGACAGGACAGCGTTCAGATGTGTCACAGGGTTGCTATGAGCTGTACTCAACTCAACAGCACATAATCACAACAACATATGAAGCAGGCAGGAACCCTGATGACACAGTGGTTATGTATCCGGCTGCTCATGAGAAGGCTGGAAGTTCAAACCCACCAGCTGCTCTGCAGATCAAAGACGTGGCAGTCGCTTCAGTTAAGATTTACAGCTTTAGAAACTCTAGGGAGTTCTACTGTGGCCTGGAGACTCACAGTCGGAATCGACTCAGCCTGGAGTTTTTTTTTTTACTTTTTGATAGTGCTTAGCTGCTAACTGAAAGGTTGGTAAGGAGAGCCTCTCAGTGTCTGCTCCACGAGAGGAAGACGTGGCAATCTGCTCCTGTGCAGTCTGCAGCCTCGGGACTCCCACAGAAGCCCCACTCTGTCCTACAGGGCTGCGGGGAGTCGGGATCAAATCAGCAGAGCTGAGTTTTCTTGTCTGTTTTATTTTTTTACATGAAACAGGAAATCTGACAGCATTCACTTAATCCAAGAGCGGTCTATTTTCAGGTTGTGACACGCCTGGAAGTAGACCATCAATGGCCCGTCCAGTGGGCCCAAAGCGGCCCGGTTTCTTTCTCTGCTTGGAGCTGACCAAACACGTCTGTCTTTATAGACACACGAAGTGAAGCCAAGAGAGTGTGGAGTGGTCAAACATGAGAACGCTCAAGCCAAGTTCACTACCAGCAAAGTGCAAGAGAGCCGAGGCTGCCGAGACGTGATCTCATCCCAACACACCAAAAATAATGACAGATCAGGTAACATTTGCAACAAAAATGCAGCTGCCGTGTGATACTGTCTGCAAATGCCATTAAAATCACAGAACCAATTTACAATAAAAAGTAATGGCTTAATCAGACTATTTATGCCAATCTCTCGGTTAGTAGCCAACTGCTTTCAACTACTGTGCTACCAGGGGTTCCCTAAACGAATGGTTACTTATAGAATATAAAAAAAATTGGCACGCTCTGGTAGCCTAGTGGCAAGGAGGTGTACTGCAATCCCAGAGGTGCACAGTTCAAATCCACCAGATGCTCTGCTGGAGAACGAGGAACAATCTTCTCCTGTACCAGTCAGATCCGATTTCACACACACACACACACACACACACACACACACACACACACACACACACACACACACACACACTAATAAAATAAAATAAAATTTTTAAAAAAGAATATAAAAAAATGAAGCCATTTAAAAACTAGCTAACATTAACTGGGCACTTAGAAGAACCAAGTACTAATCAAAGAACTTTACAAGGATTATCTCATGTAATCCCACATCTTCTATAGATGAACAATGTGAGACCAACAGAGGTTATTGTGACACTTGCCCAAGGTCATAAAAATAGTAAGTGATGGAGCAAAGAGGCAAAGCTAGAGCCTTGCTCTTCCTCACACACTCTCCTGCCAGTATGACAGCAAGGACAGAAGGATAGAAGGACAGAGGGATAGAAGGCTATCGTTAAGATAGAAACATACAGGCCAAGCCCACCTCGTCTCAACCACCCCTGGAAATGAATCCTTCTCTCCCCTGGGCTGCTGTAATAACCGCCCCGTGGGTCACTGCTGCTGCATGGCAGCCTCGGTACTGCCATGACGACAGCCGCTCTACCTGGGGTCATGGGCTATATTCCTCCCCCATGGCCAATGCCAAGGTTCAAGCTCCTTGACCAAGCATCGCCTACTAGTGAAGAAGCCGCACTGCAATCCCCTGTGCATGTGGTTTGCATCCACCAGTCGCTCCATGGGAGAAGGATGGGCAATCTCCTCCCATTCGATTTACAGTCTCTGAAAACTCACTGCAGAGTCAGCTACGGGATGGTTCTGACTCAAAGGGACGCAACAGTAACAACAACAACGAGCAAAACTATCATATACGTCTCTGACTCCCCAGCTAGTCCTGAAGCAGCTTGAAGGAAACTTGTAACTCATCTGTACACCAATGAATTAGTGGCTTACTTGGGCTCAAACAGACTGAAAACTTACCCATCCTCGCTCTGCATTTCAATTCACAACCCCTTCTAAGCTCTGGTCCTTAAATTTACTAAACGATATTAAATATATACATAAAAAAAAAAAAAGAAGCAGCCCACAGTGGCCGCTGCGGCGACTCCATGTGAAGGAGCGTCCCTCATGTCTTTGTCGGCCTGGGGCTCCCGGTGCGGCTTCCAGTGCAGTACCACTGCTTGGTCACACGTGAAAAGATTTGTCTCAGCACAACACTATGTGGGAAGTGGAACACGATGAGGAGATAAATGCCCACGGGGACTAAATGACCCTCAGAAGTCCCAATGCCATTCAAAAGGTGAGCAGTGTCTAGTATCGAGACCAACGCTGCCACACAGCGTTACCGCAAAGCGCACGAGAGAAAGAAGTTCAAGTCCTACTTACTCTGGGTTTCCACGAGATCCAAGGCAACCCCAGAAGCAGCGTCCATTCCCGAGCTGATACAGGCCTGGAAGTTCTTTAAAGTGGAGAGCGCCGACTCCACGCCGCTGAAGGAGATGAGGCCAGTGGAACCTGAACTTGAACGCCCAGGCATCTTGAAATTATAACCTAAGTTTTCAAAGACAATGATATAAGATTTATAAGCCAGAATAACATAGGAAAACAGCTGCAAACATTCAAATGATTGTTTTCAATATTCTGCAACTAATACACTACCTAAATTCTCTGTCCCTTGAGAAGGTGCCATTAATTTGCACAAGAAATATGATTTTGAAGAATCTGTGACATGGTGAGGGTATCATGGGTGGGACTGTGTTCCCTAAAATTTTATGCTGTGGTTTTAACCTCTGAGCCCATAAGAATGATTCTATTTAGAAAGAAGTATTCTGTTATTAATATCAGGTGATACCAAAGCAAGGGAGATCCTCAACCTAATCGCTTCTCAGTAGTGGCTAATCAATAGAGATAAGGGGAATCACGTGACTATCCTCTACTGGGGCTGCCAACAACGATGGACCCTCCCCAAGAGCTCAGGTGCCAATCTGAACTTCCAGCCTCCAAGATTAGACTCAAGACTCCTATGGATGGCCTAAATAATTTGTTCTTTATATTCATCCATTTGTGTGCTATCTGTGGTTACCACCAAGTAACTAAGACATCAAAGAACTGTCTTCAGAGAGAAGAGAGGGAGAGGGAAAAGTGGAGGGGGAGCAGAAGGAGATGGGAGTGGGAAGAGAGGGAGGAGGGAGAGGGTGTGTAAATGGCTTTATTGACTTGATTGAGAGCTTGCTTACTGTAGGTGACAACATGATTTGTGCCCTTGATCTTGGTTCTGTGAACACTTGTATCAACGTTCTGTGCTCAAGACTGCAAAGTTGTTTCTGCTGCTGCTGTTCTTGGTTTTTACCTCTCCAAAGTGCTGAAGAGCAATGGTGTATCTCTGGAGACTAAGGTGCGTCTGATAC